CAGACAATCCATCTCATCGAGGGCCTTCCTTTCTTGCTCTGTCCCTCAAGCATGATGTTCCTCTTCAAGGACTGGTCCCTACTCGCTGCATGTCCAAAGTATGTCAGATGAAGCTTCAGAATCCTTGCCTCCAAGGAGCAGCCTGGTCTCACCCTCTCTAGCAGCCCATGGTATATTCAATACTCTTCTCCAGAACCATAGCTCAAAGGCATCAATTCTATCATCTCTAGTCATTGCCCAGCTTTCTGATGCATACCAAGTAATTGCAAAGACTATGGCCTGGATCAAGCACACCTTAGTCTCAAGACTGACATCATTGCTCTTCAGTACCTTGGAGAGATCTCTGACAGCAGAGTTTCCCAATGTAGTTAATCTTTTCATTTCCTTGCTACTGGTACCAAGAGTGTTGTTTTGGAGACAAGCAAACGAAAGCTGTTAACAATCTCAGTCTCTTCAACATCTGTCAAGAAGTTGCCAAGTGGCCCAGTGGTGAGAATCTTTGTTTTCTTGATGTTGAGCTTCAATGCATATTGAAGGGCTGCAGTCCTTGACCTTCTGCAGCAAGCGCTTTAGGTCCTCCGTTTCAGCAAGCAGGGTTGTATCATCTGCATAACGCAGGTTGTTGATGAGTCTTCCTCCAATCCTGATGCCACATTTCTCCTCATAGAACCCAGCCTCCCAGATAATCTGTTCTGCATAAATACTAAAAAAGCATGGAGATAGGACATATCCCAGACATATACCCTTCCCAATTTACAGCATATACTAATATGAAATGTAGAATTATCATTTGCTGGACCTGTGTATGGCCATAGGTAGCCCTAGTAGCCTAGTGAGTAAGGAGTTGTGCTGCCAAACCAAAGGCAGGTGGTTCGGATCCACCAGAGGCTCCATGGTAAAAAGATGAGCAGCCTCTTCCTATGTGATTTACAGCCTCTGAAAACCTGCTAGAGAGTCTCATTTATGAGTTGGTTCCAATTTGAAGGCAATGGAATAGGAGTGAGAGAGAGGTAGAGATGACTCTCTGTGACTCAGCTTTCATCCAAATAGTAGACAGGCCTATAAGATGAATAATAATAACATCACACACCATAGAATAATCAACCATATGTTATCAAAGGACAGCATTTGCTTAGGGGTAAAGTTGAGAAGGCAGTAAGGGATCGGAAAGAAAAACAAGTGGAAAAGGGGAACATAGAAAATGGGAAGAGTGCTGTTACATTGTGAGGATTGCAATTGACATCATCCAACAAGATGTATATGGATTCTTAAATGAAAAACTTGTTTTTCTGTATATTGTCATACAAATCACAGTGAAGTTAGTTTGTGTATAGATAACGTTTGGTGTCAATAAATTGTCAATTTCCACTGAACTGGCTGCTATTCTTGGTGATCCCATTTACAAGAAAATAAAACATGACCTCGTCCTGAGCCATCTTTACAGTCCTTGGTGTGTTTGAGTCTCTTGTTGTCATTACATATTTAAAGTGCCTTCTAACATAGGCGTTTGTCTTCTAGCACAATTGAACAATATGCTATTAGAAATCAAGGGGTATTCACAGATTTTTAGAACTGTATCACCAGATCCTTCTTCCTAGTCTGTCTTAGTCTCGGAGCTCCACTGAAACCTCTCTGACAGAGGTGACCTTACTGGAATTTGAAGCACCCATGGCATTGCTTTCAGCAACATAGCACTGTGTAAACCACCATGGTATGCCAAACTGACAGACAACAGGTGGCGATGGTAAGTGCTATGCTATTGTGTGCTGTAGGGTTGATTCTGACTCACAGGACCTGTACAGCACAGGACAACTGTCCTGTAGGGTTTATGAGATTATAGTCTTTACTGGAGCAGATAGATCAACAAGCCCTTTCTCTTATGGAGCTACTGTATTCACCACTGGTCACCAGTAAGTTCAAACCACTGGCCTTTTGCTTAATACCAGAGCACTTAACTGGTGGGTTTGTATATCCGAATAACTCTTATTATTTTAATAATGTGTAGATACTCCAAAGGATTTCCTGCAGCTTTGTTGGTTTCAGGTGCCCTTTTGGCAAAGTTGACCATGAGGGAGTAGAGCTGTTACACTGGACAGCCGTGTCTTCTCTGTACCCGCTGTCTTCTGCCCCTTAACTTCCCCGGGTCCACACACTTCTCCATGTATTGCTGAGGAAATAGTGACCAGAATTCATTTATAATAAAAAATGAGTGGTGTAAAAGCAATGAGGAAGCCACCATGATGGGACAGTGTATGAATTGGGGAGAAAAAAGACACAAGATAAGCAAATAGAGGCCAACCTGGGAGGTGCCTCCCAGCCCTCCTTCATGCTGGGTCTGCATCTGAGAGTAGTAGTAATAGCTTCTATTTGTTCTGTGCTTACAGCCCTCAGACTGTTTGCACATATGCCAGCTCACTTTATTCTCACAACACCTCTAGTAGGTAGGCTCGATTAATCCCCCTTTAAAGAGGAGGAAATGGAAGCGCAGAAAGGCAGAGTACTTTGCCCTTGATCACACAGCTAAGAAAAGCTAAGAGTGAAGAACAGGTCTCTTGACTCCTGGTCCAGCTGGTGAATGATCTCTCCCTGTCTGAATCAAAGAAGTAATGTTGTGAGAATGAAGTGGCAGCGGGAGCCCCTCAGGAGCCGCCTGGGCGGAAGCTGAAGAGGACAGAAGGCGTTAGGCATTCCAGTCAGGCTGCGTGGTGTTCATTGGGAGCCAGCTAGACATCTGCCCCCTTCATCTGTAGACAGCATCCACAGGACCGCTGTGCCCAGCCAGGGGAAGATAAGCTGCTGGTGGATGCCATCCACACTGTGTGTAATTGCTGGGCTCTGTATCTGAGTTGAGAAAGGACTCAGACTAGTTAGATAGACCTTTGTGGGTTCCTTCAAAGAAGCTGAGATGCCTTCACTGGGAGCTCTCACCTCTAGGGTGCAGGCTACCTAGGGGCGGGAGGGGCGGGGCTCAGTGGCACTGCAGTAGTGCCTGATGAGGGTCTTGAAGTCTCCCTGTTGGGATTCATGTACCCCTTTCCGCACAGCCATAGCCATGTGGCAGCTCTGTTCTGGCACTCATCCATCTGCCCTGCTTTGGTGATTAATGTCCCCCTGTCTAGATTTTGAGTGCCTGAAGGGCAAGGGAGCAGCACATCTTCTGTTTCCTGGTGGGTGGGGGGTGGCTGGCCCTGTTAGGCACACAGCAGGTGTAGAAGAAATGATTGTATCCAAGGAGGGCATTTCATCCTCCCCCCCCCATCCCCAGCGCAAATACTTTTACCCAGCCACCCCTATTGTGTGCAGAAGCCAAGACATGAGGCAGGTGCTCGGGATACTAAGCCCTGTAAGACTGGTCCTTGTCTTCGGCACTCTATGACTCTTATTTTTGAATGACAAGGATGGCGGCAGAAAAGAGAGATGGGGACCCCCACCTCCTGCCTTCAACCTTTTGGAATTCACCATTTGTCTGCAAAGTGTGGTGGCCCCAGATGGGCACTGCAGAGTTCCGCACAAGCCCAGTCTGCTCCAGGATGCTCCCAAGCCCCTAGGAAGAGCCTTCCGCATACTGTTTCCCTGACCAGTCCCTTAAGTGTACTCTTCACCGAAGATGACCCATCCTGTGGCCAGGAGCACTTCCTACATCACCCTTGGCATATGCAGCGTGCAGAGGGCCAAGACTGGAGCTCCACTTCTGCCCCTGCTCTGCCTGGTGGGGCTGGAGTCCCAGGTGGAGCGGCGTCCCACCCTGGCACTCGCGGGGTGGGGGCTCAAGCAGCTGCAGGAGCCTGGCGGAGCCGCGTGTGTGCGCGCGTGCGCACGGGTACGCGGAGGGCAATGCGCGCACCTCGGAGGCCCCTAGCGCCTTTCCCACACCTCGCGCCTCCCCTGCGGTCCCTTTTCCTTGCGTACTGTAACCAGACCCACGTGTGCGAAAGCGTGTGGCGCGCGCGCGCGCGCGCGTGTGTGTGTGTATGTGTATGTGTATGTGTGTGCGCGGCCTGCACGCGTATAATCGGAAGGTCTTGCGCCCCGGCCGGGCAGGCCCTCCTGTGCATAGGGTACGGCGACCAGTTCCACTGTGGCTGCTCTTCTTTCCTCCTTAGACCTTTATAGCTTCCTTCGGGTGTTTGATACCTTCAGTCTTACCTCCTCCCCGCCCCCTTTTCTCCAGTTAAAGAGACCAGCTCCTTCCACTGAAGGTTCTGATTCACCCTCGGCTAAAGAGCCCTTGACATTTAGTGAGGGTTCGCAGCGCACTTGTATAGGCACACAGCAGAACGCTAATCCTATTAAAGATATTGTGTCATTGGGGAGAGGGGTGGCTTCCCTACTGGGGCCGGGCAGGCCGCACCCCCATTGGTCGAATGCTAAGCAGAGGGCGGGGCCAAGGGCCAGGGGAGGGAGCTCGAGCGAATTTGGAGTCGGGAGTCGAGGCTGGGATTTCACAGGGAAAGCCCAGCGGTTGCAGCTGCGGCGGATCCCTCAGCATTGCCCGCCGCGCGCCCGGGCAGCCCAGGGCCGGCGAGCAGCGCTCAAAGTCGTGGAGCCGAGGAGGCGGAGCGCCCGCAAAGTGGTGGGGCCGTGTGCTGGGGCTTGCCGGAGGAGGTGTGCTCAGCGAGCTGGGAGCCCGGCGCCCTTCTGCCTCGAGTGGAGCGGCCGGTGCACTTCCGAAGCGAGCCGGCGCCTCTGACAGAGAAATAAAATTGCAGCCTCCCCAAAGACGCGAAGTTACGCAGTCGAGCCAGTTCGCGGCGAGCATTCGCGAGCGCGCCGAGAGCGGAGCCGAGCCGCAGAGTCGTCCTCGCCGGCCGGCTGGCCAGAGAGGGGCGCCGTCCGAGAGACAGCAGCCCCTGCGCACGGGCTTTGGTCGGGAGTGAGCCCTGGTACAGAGAGGGGCGTGCAAGGCTCCGCCGGCCCGCACGCCCGACTCGGGCGCCCCCTCCATCCCTCTCCGGGAGCAATGCCCCCCGCCCCTCGGGCCCCCCGGGAACGACGTGAGCATGGAGAAGTCGAGTAGCGAGGATTCTTCGATCCACCGGAGTCCATCTTTGGACAGCAAGGACTCGGACTTTGCCAAGCCGTCCACCTCGGGCCGCCCGTTCGGCCGCGGCTTCACAGCCGGCGCCTTCTACGGCACCGCGGGCTCCCGAGGCCAGAGTCGCGCCGAGGCCGGCGTTAAGACCGACAAGTACAATGCACCCAAAGGCAGCAAGTACGTGGTGTTTTACCTGGACCTCTCCTTTGTTTTCCTCCTAGAATTTAAAAAGTGCAACATGGCCAGGGGCTGCCTCTGCTGCTTGAAGTACATGATGTTCCTCTTCAATTTGATATTTTGGGTAAGTGCTTGCCTTTATCTCTTCCTTTACCCTCTCATCGCTGTGCCTACAGTAGCGTGATACCCTCTTTCTCATCCGTGCTGCATTGCTCTGCTTTCTGCACAACGGTAAGTTATCTTTTTTTTTTTTTAAATCGCTTCCCCCTCTTTCAAATCTCTCTCCCCCCTCTTCTCTCTCCTTGGTGGCTGAGTGGAGGCACCCACTTGCCTGTCTTCCAGGAGAAACTTGTTCTACTCCCAAGAGGCTGGCAAAGTTCTTCTATAAGAAGAACCCATGCTGAGTATGCCTCTGCCTGGGTAACCCGCAGAATGAATGAGAAGTTCAGAATTTTTACCAGGTTGTGACCCCGAGTTGAACAGGGCACACGTGTGAACATAGATGGTTTTCTGAATTTCTTCTTGTATGCCCCCTTGAATACACAAGACAATCTGCAGCATTTTGTGAGTTGGGATGCATAATGGTCACCTTCTGCCCCTCCGTTCACTGCATTTCTGGAAAAGGAGGAAGAGGTGTCCCTGTCCAAGATGATGGGCTCACTTGCCAGCCCTCAGATCTGCCCCTGAGTTGGGGTTTGTGTAAGAAAGGAGGGGTATGGGAGGGATGCTGCCATCGGCCAGCCGGTTGCTGCTTTTGAGGGATTGCAGCCGACTGGGCAGGGAGCGGGCTGGCCATGTGCCCCTGCCCTGGAATGCCAGCTCTAAGGCTTCACAGCACCAGGGGCTACAGGGGAGACAATAAAGAATGTCCCTGTCCCTGGTGAGTCACTAAACTTTAGAGGTGCCAGTGGGTGGGGCAGCCTAATATTTTGGCTTCTCTATAGTTGGTTGGGGTGCACGCACGTGGGGGGTGCAAGCATTAACTACTAGTTTGGTAGATTTGAAGACTTCTGACATTCATGTAGAATCCACCCTCACTGGTGTCCCTGCCTTCTTCACCAGAATTCAGTCACCATCGGCACAGATGTTTGGCTCTGCCCCAGGGCCTGACTCTCTGCCCGCTGGAAGCTGTCAGCTGCCCCATGGTCCAGGAGGAGCCCAGGGACAGGAGAAAGTCATGCAGAATGAAGTTAGGGAGAATCGCTTGGCTTCAGTGTTTGATTTTTGTATAGAGTGATCCACTTTAGTGGAAATAACTCCCCCCACACACACACTTTTTGGCTTATGGGTGGGTGGAATGAGAGACTTTTCCTTGGAGAAAAAGACTGGCTTCTAGTCTTATTTCTGTGCTGGCTTGGAGCATGACCTTGGGCATGTGACTTTATTCCTCAGATTCTGGGGTTCCTTTCTAGTGTTTTAGGGGATGACCTGATGGTCTCATCTTATGGAAGATCCTGCTGCTGGGAGAAGAGAGGTCCTGACCTTTCCACTAGGAAAGAAACCCCCTTGCCTATCCAGGCACTGCTTCTCTTCCACAAAGTCTGTTCTGAGAGGACTTGAGTTAGACTTTCTCATGTCTCTATAGGCTGGGGTTGGTCACTCCAGGCACTGCTACTGGGATGTCGCCTATTCTGAGCTTAAGGTTTTATGCAAACTGAAGCAGAGACGCGCTAATTCTTCTTTTCTGGGTAACAAGAATAGTTTGGAATGTCAAGAATTACTTTATTGCCTTCTGGTAGGCAAGGCCGTCCTGCTCATGTACCCACACGTGTGTCAGCCTGGTGTGCTGCTGCGTGCCTCTCGGTGCTTTTGGATTTGCGTGATGCTGTGCTTTCAGTTGCTCACAACTTTCCTCTCTGTCCCCTAATCTTGACCTACTGCACTGCTTTGCCCCACCCTGCCTATCTTAACTCTTACTAGGAAACCCCCCTCATGATGATGCTCAGGGCAGTAACGTCCACTCTGCGCTGCTCTTCCCCACCCCCACCCCGCCACCTGCTGGCAGGAATCGATATAACCGCTCGTGACTCCTTGTAGTAAACTCCAGGCTTGCCTGGCTCCTCCGAGGCTGGCTAGCACAGTGGTGTGTGCTCTGCACATTCATTCTGTGTTTGTGAGTGAATGAGTGGAAGGCCAGAGCATTACCTCCTCCGCGTGGTACTCTGTGGGCTCTGACGTTTATAGAGAAGCTGGTTCTCTAGAGAAGGTGGCTTCTGGCTGAGGCTCACCTGATCAAAATCAACACGGTGGAAATGGTTTTGTCTTTTAAAGCATCTTACTGTGCGAGGACAGGCAGCTCTTCTCCATCTCCCCTTAAAAATTAGGCGGAGTTTAATGAGCAGGCCGATGGAATCTCCTTCCTTTACCGTCTTCAGTGAAGGAGCTTGCTGTCCCTTCCTAATTAGAAGGTTTATACCACCGCTGTCTTACCACGCACGTAGACCAGCTCTTTCCTGGACTCTAACATTACTGATTAGTTAATATTTTTGGAATTCCCGTGACATGCTAGCAGCTAGACAAAAATTGCATCTCATAACTCTGGTCCTTTCATGTTAGTAATGAATGTGCTAACGAAGTGAGACGTAGATTGTGGGGAGGATGAAAAATCTAGCAAAAGAGAAAAGGCTGCTTGTACATGGAAGAGGGGGTGTTGACGACGATGCTGAGCGGGAGGTAAAGGAACAGGTGTGGCAGTGTGGCAGCCAGGAACTTGGGGAGGTGGGCACTGTGCTCGACGCCAATGAAGACGTCTAGGCAGAAGCTGCTCAGAGCTGATCTAAAGAGAAAGAAGGGAAAAGAGCCGAATGAGCAGAGGGAAGGAAGTGGGGTAGGTGATGAGGCCAGAGGGTTGGGGAGTTCTGCAGCTTCAGGCTACACAGGGAGGTCAGTGACTCCGTGAAGGCTGTGGTGGGGCGGGTCCAGGCCTCCAGGATCCAGAACGATTTTTAGGAATTTTGTACCCATCACATTTCCTACTCTCCTGGCTCAGATCCCAAAAGGAGGCCTTTCCAAGACAGAGTTGAACTGAGGCCTGCAATCGATACTTTCCCGTAGATCCTAGTAGTTCTCTAAACCTATTGCTGCTGTCGCACCCCCTCTGCCAGGTCCTTCCAGCAAGCCGGCCAGAAAGAAGAGTTTCCAGTGGAGAGATGCAGCCTTATCACACTGCACGCCCCTCCCAGGCTTAGTCCCTGCCTCCTCACCACTGGGCGGAGTTTCTTCTTGGTGGTGGTGAGGGCCTCGGTGCCGTCATTCAGGCGGAGCTATGTGGTCAGCGCCCCTCCTCCTTCCTGGAAAAGAGGCGGGGCGTTACAGGCTTCCTGCTGGTCCAGGTCTTCTGGCACTGCTTGCTGACACAGACAGTGCTAGCCATCTTTGCACCCCAATGCACGATGGGAGTTTGGGACACCAAAGCCAGCATCTCTGAGGGCCTAGTATGGGGGTAGAAGACAAGGAGTCAGTGATGACTCCTGCCTTGCTTCTCAGGACCACAGAGAGTGCTGGTTTTTTGGTTGGATAGAGAATATTGTTGTTAGGTGCCATCATATGACTTTGGAGTCATAATGACCTTGTGGAAAACAGAAAGAAATACTGCAGTCTTGTGACATCCTCACAATCGCTGCTGTGCGTGAGCTCACTGTTGCAGCCACTGTTGTCAGTGCATCTTGTTGAGAGTTTTCCTCTTTTTCACTGACCCTCTCCTTCTTTATAGAGTGGCTTCTCCTAGGCCATGCCTTGAGAATATGAGGTGAAAGTTGTTGTTGTTGTTGTTATGTGCAGTCGAGTTCTTGCGACTCATAGTGACCCTGTGTACAACAGCTGTAAGCCCTAATCTGTATCCTGTGCCAACCTTGTTGTCTCTGACACATCTACCCCCATTACCCCAGTCATTGAGTCAATCCATCTCATCCAGGGTCTTCCCTTCCTCTGTTGTCCCTCCACCTTACCAAGCATGATGTCCCTCTCCAAGGACCAGTCCCTCCTTGTAACATGTCCAAAGTGTGTCAGACAGAGCTTCACAATCCTTACCTCCAAGGAACAGTCTAATTTCACCTTCTCTAGGACGAACTTGTTTGTTCTTCTAGGAATCCATAGTGTATTCAATACTCTTCTTCAGCACCACAACTCAAAGATAATAATTCTTCTTTTGTCATCTTTGTTCATTGTCCAGCTCTCTGATGCATAGCAAATAATTGAGAAGACCATGGCTTGGATCAGGCTCACCTTAGTCACCAGACTGACATCATTGCTCTTCAGTACTCTGGCGAGGCCCCTGACAACAGATTTTTTTCCCAGTGCTATTTATTCTTCTTTTGATTTCCTGGCTGCTGGTATCAAGAGTATTGCATGAATTCAAGCAAACTGAAGCTATTAACAATCTCAATCTCTTCACTAGCTATCATGATGCTGCCAGTCAGCCTAGTGGTGAGAATCTTTGTTTTCTTTATGTTGAGCTTTAATCCATATTGAGGGCTGCAGTCCTTGACTTGAATTGAGATGAATATGAATTCTGAAAGTGTTTTCCACCAGGGGTGATCAAACCCAATCCAAAGTGTTTCTCCTAGCCGTGGAAACCATCCAGGACTTTCCTTTCAGTCACTTTTATATGGTTCTACCCTCTGCTGTCTGCCTGAATGCTCCAGGTAGAAACTAAATGAGTTCAAATCCTTCAAAAGAACTCGGGTCTATACAGAGTTGAACTGCTAAGCTGAAGACTGCACCTCTCTAACAGTTCAAATCCACGAGAGGGTCTGAGGGAGAAAGATGGGCAATTTCTTCCTGTGCAATCTGCAACCTTGGAAACCCGTTGGAGGCTCAGCTCTGACAACAATGAAAGAGGAATGATGTCCTTAGGAGCTACTTCATTAGTCGTATTTCAGGCTGTTAACCCTGGGTTTGTTAGTTTGACTTCACCTACATAAGGAGCTCTGGTGGCCTATTGGAAAGAAACTGTGCTGTGATACTGAAGGCATGCAGTTCAAGTCAACCAGCTGCTCTGTGGGAGAAAAATGGGTGATCTTGTCCCAGGTGATTAACTGCCTCTAAAAAAAAACCCACCAGAGGGTCAGCTGTGCGTCAGATCTGACCTGAGAATACACAATAACATCGTAGGAGAAAGATGGG